AAACCAAAATGCCAATAATATCTCAGATATTCCCTTAAGAATGGTCTCAGTGAAGAAAATAACACAAAATGCTAAGATTTACATGTATTTATTTGAAGTCACGTGTTTAGAAATTCAGATTTTTTATCTCTATATTAAACATAATTTGCCAAATGACATGAATACATGTACCTTAATAATGGCGACCTTAGTATAGTAAAAGTTACTTTTTGTAGGAGGTCCCTTGAAACTTCATGTAGATTCAACTTGGCATTCAAGGTTAAATGTACTTCAACTTTAACTCAGACATTCTCAAATTGCAGTTTTTTCTGGCCTATGAAACTGACCAAAATATAATATTGTGTGGAGATGCAGTTACATGTACATGCTAAGTACATTTATAATATTGGGCGAAGGATTAAGCAGGCAGGAGGGCAACTGCTTTTCACAGGTGGGCAAGACTTTTTAAAAAAATGGAAAAACTTTTCATTACATGGTCAAACCAGGCAGGCAAAATTGTACTCGCAGCTGGTCAATTTTCCCCATGCCTGAGGTTCAGTTTCAAGTCTTTTGAATCAGGGCCACTTTGACCATCCTAAAACAAGTTATGTAGTCTGCAATACATGCCCAAGTTTATTGTGTCAAAAAAAAAGTACAACATGTAGGTTTGATCTGGAAGGAAAAAGCAAGAGCCCTAGGTGTAAACCTTTCTTTTAACCAAAATTAGGATTACACTGCTCTTTTGAGAATCTTAATTTTTGTTAAGAATTATTATTGTAGATTCATTGACAGTCATTTAACATTGCTGTTTGTTTTGGTGCACTGTAACTTGTGTTTCCACTCCTAAACATCTCACTGACTGATGACATTCAGTATCTCGTGACACCTGAGAGGCTTATGTTACTATGTTACAGTGTATACACTGTTAACTGTACAGAGTATATACAAGAGTGTTTAAACAATATTATAGAATCAATCATAAGTATTATAGTCTCAGTAGGAAAGCTGTAATACAGTTATTTAGCTAACAGTTAAATTTCAATTGAGAGCAAATGATCACAGTTGTATTATGGTTTACTTTCAGCAACTGAGATAACTTCTGTTGTGGTAAACCATTAATGAAGCTGTTAGATAAAAACAAGATTCATCCTTTAATCTGTCCTCATTGTGACATGGGATGCAAACGATGTAAGCTAGGCCTCAGATGAAAACTAGCCAGATTAAACTAAATTCAATTTTTGAACAAGCAATTTTTGTAAAAAAAAAATTTATATTACTGTTCATACATTCCTGACCATGATTTGGAGCTTTAAAAGCACAGTCAATCCTTGCTTGCAACTTAATGTGAAGTCAAATGACAGTTAATGAAGGACTAAAAAATCTCACGTTGTAGTAAAAGCCGAGAGCTATCTATTAAAGGTAACACATTTTGCTGTCTGACTAAAATGATAACCTAGAGAGGTTACTGATATAATTAGATCTCCCTCACTTGTACCACAGTGGGCTATAGGTTTCCATTCTTAGCTTAGAGGCAGCTTACAGATGTACTGCTACAGCTAAATGCTCTAAACATTTCTTAACCCTTTAAGCCCTAGAGTCAAAATACAAATTCTCTTCACTGGTATACACACATTTTCTTATGGCACTAACTACAAGAATTTGTTGAAGATCGTAGAAATTTCTATTTGGCGATGATGTCCTTGATTCTCACTACCTTGTCTCTTGATTTATGTGTTGATACTGTCAGGAAAAATTTGATGCCGGTAACTCTTAGGGCTTAAATATGATTTCTAGTCTGTATTTCTAGTCTGCACATTTTCGGGAGTTTGTTTACATTGATTTGGTTTGATTCATGTAAGACATCACAAAATGTAACATTTCACAACTACTTACATGAGGTAATTTCAAGGTTTTATTTCAACCGTCATTATGGATGCAAAGCTTTATCCTTCGTTCTTTCTGGTATCACTTGATGAAACAATTTCGTAGCTGTAAATAAAGTGCCTTAAAGATAAGGTATGTGGTTCGTAACAAATAACATTGATTTGCATTTCAGCAAGTGAGACTCACAAACATTGGGGTGCTGAGACTGCACAGTACAAACTGGAAATCACCTTTAAGCAGTTTTTTCCGAGTGTGCAATAGAATTAGTGCTTTATGTAATAAAAATGAGTATGTGCATTTAAATAACACTTTCATTGATCAAAATGTCCAGTGCATATACCCCTATCCTTATCCAATCACGGGACAAGACAGGGATTAGTGGGAAAGAGGGAATTTGAGGCAAAAAGGGTCAAGAGGAAATGTTCAGAATTTCTCAGTCTCGGGCTGGCTAAGGAAAGTTAGTGAAGAATCGTGCTAACCCTGACATTGCAAAGTCATAACATGTCCATTATATAGAGTGAGCTCTTGCGATGTTTTGAAGAGGTCAAGGAGACTCCTACAAGTACATGGAGATTTGCCAAAATCAGCCACAACAAACAATATCTTGAAATAGAACCTTAAGGGCACAGGTAATGTAGGTTGAGTTTCCTTCCATTCTTAAAGAACATTTTTGTTTGGCTGTAATTTTTCAAGACAACAGAGCACACAATATAAAGAATGCATGTTTTTCGGAAGAAAAATTGCACGAATATAAGGGCCAAAGCTTTTGTTATTCTTTATGCGAATTGCTGTACTAATTGTCATTATAATTTTAACCCATGAGGTATTTTTGAGAAAGTGAGGTCATTTTCTCAAATTCTCAACCAAGCTTTGGGACAAGGAAAATTAATGGCGGCCATAAATTCTCAGAAACAAAGGTCCAAAAAATGCAAGTTCTAATGTTTGTAATAGATTGAAATTCGGCAAGATATCTGGGAGAGACCTATTGTGCACAAAATTTAAAAAACGGGTATCAAGAATTTGATCATAGTGGCACTTTCACGGTTCTGTGATTCTCAAGAGAAACCAGATGCTTCTAGGGAGAAGAGAAGGATCTTTAAAGAAACGAGTCAAGTGGTGGTAACCTTCCTTTGACTGTTACTGTAACTAAAGTGCTACATACATGTGCTCTGGCTTCCTGGATGCTAAGAATGAAGTTGCATAACAACATGAATGGCTCAAAGCTGACATGATTCATAAGGGCTTGTTCAAAGATTGTCGAGACCCACCAGCAGGTACAGGCTGTAATGGAAATTTTGATCTGGAAAGACGCGCCAGGTTCTGGGATGTTTGACAACATTATGTGCCAATCACTTCTCAGCTTCAACAATCCTCCTCCCCCCCGCTCCACTCCGGGCAACACACGGAAATTTGACACAAAAAAACCTTCCCAGGTATGGGGAATTTGAACCTTCCCTGGGTGGGGTGGGAAATTTGAACCGGAAGTGTCAAATTTGAACGAGCCATTCTTCAAAAGTTTAAATGCCCCGGGGATTGTCCAGGATGGTGAGTGTTGAAGCTTCGAACTGACCGGCGCATTAAACTGTGGTTAAAATTGCTATCATTGCAAATCACTGTCCTCGCCAGCTCTGAAGTCATAAGGTCTGAGATTTTGCTACGGCTTTTCAGGTGCGAAAACTTATCGGGACCTTCGATAAACGGGGCCCTGACCAGCACTGCCTTGATCATAAACTGGTAAGCTAAAATGCCAATAACTATAATTATACCGGGCTTCAGCGTACAAGATCCAGGGTCACTTGACCTCTTGGCCCACGTATTTCTAAAAATGTTCACAAGAATTTAGACACTTACCGTAGAAAACTGGCAATGGTATATGTAAAAACATCCGCCCAACTTGTAAAACGCAATTAAAACGGCAATAAATTGCTGAAAGCAAGCGCACAACACAACTTCCAGCTTCAATTCAAAACATGGCTGACTAAAGAAAAACTAGATCTCAGACTACTCTCGGTCACCTATAGTTGCGCATTGAAGAACGCGCGCAAAAATATTTCCCGCGTATTTGCAGAGAGCTGCGTTTAACATCGAAAGAAACTTCTCAAATGACATCTACTGTCATTCGTTATCGTGATAATGAGGCTTCTTCAATCTTCAAGTAGCTTTGCCAATCCTCATGCCGTTATACTTCGTCACGAGTGGTGTCAAATTACCTTATGATTATGACGTTGCTTCGTAGTACTGCTCTATTGTGCAAAGCTGCGAAGAATAATGGCATTTTTACTTCAAAGTTTAAAAGACTTTGCAGACAATCGTTACTTTTTACTTGGAGTNAGCAAAGAGTAATCCACTAATTGCACTAATTCAAGTCTGCTGATGTGCAAGGGTTGAAGTATTAGTAAGTATCACAGCGAGACAACAATCGTCACAAAAATTGCAGAAAAAGGCTTCTCTTTCACCCATTACAGAAAAATGTTCCCGCCAACAACTTACGAGCTTTCTTCAGAGGTCACACTACGACCTGATACTCAGTCCAGCCTGAAACGAGTTCAAAATATCTTGAACTGAAGAAACTACGCCAGTTCTTTAACGTGTTGTAAACTTGCGTAGTATCGGTGTCAGAAAAAAAAAGATTCAAAATCACAAACTCTCGATAAGATGTAGGTTTGCTACGCGTACAAAGTCAAATTTTGAAGTACTTGTCACTAGCATCTTTTACCTGGAAGCTTTATCAAATTGGCCGAGTCTAGGCAAGGATCATACCGTATGTAGGATTTCGTGTCTAACGAGGAGCTCCTGATCTAACGTAATCTGAGGAGCCAGCCATGTGTTTTTACATCTAAGCAAGAATTGTTTTGATTTTTATCTTTTCACTTCATGGAACAGGTGCCTTCGGGGAATCCTATCTATCGTTGCCATGGCAAACACAAGAAACTTGCTTTACTTGACTATGGCTTGAATCCGGACTCCTTTCCGCCACAACTGTCACGTGACTGGCCTAAAGGTCGGTTCATCTGGTTTACCGCGGGCAGACAACGCCGTATATTTGTTAACTTCATTGATCACATGAAACTTGTCATAACTCAGCCTGGAGGCGATTTACAGAAGGCTTTTAGACAATACAGCAAGCTTCTGTCGGCCATAAAAGGATGTCTAACACGAAAAGGAAATAAGTTCATGTGGACCTCAAAATACGGATTCTTGACGAGTTCACCACATTATGTTGGTATAGGACTTGAAGTGCAAGTTAAGGCTCGATTGCCAAAGCTTATCAAGGTGAAAACTATGTACACAAAACATGGACTAGACCACATAACCCAGCCTCGTCCCCAAAGTCCTTTACTCAGTCCTCGAAAGGAGGACAAGCGCCCAAGGAACGGGGTTGTAAATAGCCCTGGATTTTGACAGTTGTTTACATGACTCAACCTACACTAGAGACCGAAACCGGCTTTGCAATTTAGACGGTAGAGGAGAAGTCTACAACAGTTCGGATTGTTTTCTACGAACTTGCGCGTGACGCGAAACTGAAAGCGCGAGAGGAAAAAAAATCTAGTGTGCGAGGACAAGAAGACGAGAACAGGGAGGTCGCTCCTCTCTCTCGTTTTCTTGTCCCCGCGCACGCTTCAATTTTTTCTCTCCCGCTTTCTTGCACATCTTGCTAAACGGTCTAAGGGTCGTCTAACAAAAAAAACGGGCCTATATATAAGTCTTCTTGATTCGTAGATTATATGTTTGTAGAAACAGTTTTCGCAACACCATCTTGTGGGCGATCAAGGTGATGTACAGTAAGTAGGACCTACCGTGAACATGTCAGCTAACTAAACGCGCGATCAGCTTCAGGACTATGTTTTTAACAGAATCAGAGTGTCATGATGGTGCATTAGTTTTAAATTACCTTTCCTTGTTTCTCAAGGTCCGAGATTTGAACGTATAATAGACGAGCTGCCAATCAAAATAGAACTTGCAGGTGAGAAGATTAAGTAAAATACGAAAAGCAAATGAGATGGGATTAATACTGATGTTTCGAAATTTTCATTTGTCAATCTAATACTTACAAAAACGCCACTAATGTTTAAGAATCAGGAATGAAGGTGTGAATATTGTGCTTGAAAAGCCGCTGACATTTGCCAATCAGAAAGGAAACTTTTTGCGCCGGTCCTGCAAAGCGGAAATCGTGAATATTACACAATTCTTTGGGAAACTTACTTACTATTCGTTGTCGGTTCTCACTGATACTCTGTGTAAAAAACCATGTTTACAACCTTTTTGACATGGTGGAAAAGTAGCCTGGGGGGTGGGGTACTCCCTTATATGTGCTATATAGTTATGTGCGGCCCCAAAGAGTAGGGTTTTTCAGCCACTTTGATCATAAATAGGGCATCGATTTTGGCTATTTTGGTCTTAAATAGGATATGGTTTTTAGCACTCTAGTCTTGAATTGGGTATGTTTCTTGGAGGAAGCTACTTTTTCATCATTATCAATAAGACCGTCAACAAAAGCCCTTCATAACTTATGTTTAAAGTAACTGTGCCTGCCGCAATGGTCATAAATAGGGTATCGAATTTTTGGCCAGGTCATAACTAGGGTAGCAAAAATTGCTGATTTTGGTCATAAACAGGGTAAGGGTTTTGGAAATGGGCCGCACAACCCCACCTAACTTTTCTGGGAGTACCCCCACCCCCGGGAAAAATAGCAAGCGGTCTTTTGAACAAGTCAGTGTGACGCTCATCCTTTGAGTGTTTTAATTCACCTTCTCCACTAGCTGTCAAACATTTGTACTTTCACTTTACATTTTTAGTTGATCCACAAATCACAGACGTAGTGTGCATCAGTAACAAACACAAAGTGCAGCTGACAGAGGTAAGTATGAGGTGATGACTGACAAGATAAAAAATTTCAGAAGTATTGAGACGAAATTCCAAAGAAACAAAATCGTTTCTTTGGAAATAAAGTCGGTCCTCTTCTGCTCAAAAGTTGTGCCCGGTTGACTTAGTGTAGAAATTCATAGGTAACTTTTCCGCAAAGACGTAGTCTGCATAACGGCCTTGTCTATGAGTGCCTCGCTCCTTTAAACCAAAACTCCGGTTTTCTATTTTAAACATTTCACTCTCATCTCCATGACTAAGCCATTTATATATTGAAAGAATTGGTTGCCTTCTGACATTAGAATAGTTTTTCTAATCCTTTTAAAATGGGCGAGGAAAAAAGTATTCTTGTGACAAAATGAAATTTATACACTATTAATTAAGAATGGATTCTGCTTGCTCGTTTCACCAAATATAATATATGTAGTTGTACCAGTACAAATTTTATGATAGAAAAAAGTCATGTTCATCATATCACGAACATTGGACACAGAGAACAAATTCTGGCTCTGAACGAAACAGATTTACTTTGCTAATATTGAGTCCGTCAGCTCGCGTTTCGAGTGAAAATCTTTCTTAAACATATTAGAAACCGATTGATTTTATTGTTCTCTTCTTCGATCGCAGGTTGATATTATTCAGCAAGTTATCAGCAGTGTCACTCTGCTTCTTGAGATTGACAAGAGGAGAGAACATCCTGGATTTGCTTCCATAGAACTTTACCTCTAGCTACCTCTAAACAGATAAGTTATATCTTTAATACTAATTAACTGATGTAGTCGCAGTAACATGTAACATTTTCTTCAGATTCTTCTTTATCCGTTCTACGTATCATTTAATTTATTGCATACCATAAAAAACCCCGTTTATAAGCCCCCTCCGTCTGTAACTCACCCACCTCATAATTATAAATGTCCCCTATTTAAAATCCTCGCGGCCCTATGTGTCACGTGGCACGAAGGGGACAGTCAAATTTATAATCACCGCCCTTTTTTAGGTCTCCCGTGTTTAGCTGTTATAGATACGGTCTGTTAAATAGGGTCTGTTCCAGTGGTAATCTCTATACCTCTATTTTTCCTTATTTAATCAGGCAATAACGTATTTACAGAGCACTTTATAAGCAAAGGTTTTGTAAAGCATAAACAAGTAAAAATTAGCAATAAGAAATAACGTTTCGGTGGCATCGTGACACCATTTTCAAGTTTAAATGCAAAAAGATAAACTGTCAGCAAATTCGCTCAAGATTAACATACTTCGTAACTACACATGCAATGTCACGCAAATAGTTTTGCTTGAATTGAGTCCGACTGGACATTGAGAGATGGTGTTAATTCTCTAATTAGCAGTATTTCATGCACTAAACAATCGAACTTATTCATGCACTTCCTGAGAACGGAAAAATGTCTGTACAGGTCTTTCGGAACAATACAGTGTTCGTTAATGAAGTGTTTGCCTTGAGCGCAAGTTATGTAGGCTATACTCTCGGGCACTTTCACCAACGCGTGGCTGAACACACTAAACAGTCTTCTTCCATTGGCAAACACTTCATTAACGAACACTGTATTATTCGCTGCTTATCTCTAAATCCCACAACTAACGTTTTGAACTGAAATTTCCGTGTTCCTTGAATAGAATGCATGACAATTAGTGTTAGAGGGACTGATTGAGGCTATCATCAGACCTTATAGTGTTATTACTAAAGCATGGCTAGGCCTGAGTATGGTTAACAGTTTATAAATTAAAACAAAGACGTTTTTTTTTCTTTTTTGAGCCGACGAGTTAAATGCTGAATGGCACTTCACCAATCCACGTGCAAGGTGGTACGTAGGCCTACTACTAACGCCGTTAAAAAAAATTGAACATTTGCCATGTTTACCAAAATCTCAATATATGATTACTGACGTCAGGATGTTTGCTAATATATAGAAACTACGGCTGCTATTAAACGAACGTAGTTTGTTTTAAGAACAAAGTGAATATTTGCCATCTTTGCCAAAATTGACAAGCATCAAGTAGCTGTTTGCAAATCGAAGCTACTGATACTAACGTCATTTCTGGAATCAAAAAGTTGTGTGAATTATTGCCGAGGCATTAAGTAGCTATTTGCATATCCATAGAAATAATAGCCACTGACCACAGTCAAACCTGTATTGGGCGGACACCCTCGGGACCCTTGCAAGTGTCCGCTTAGTAAAGGGTGTCCGCTGAAAACAGGTTCCCTCAGAATTCGTCTTAAAAGGGTCATTGAGATCCGTCAGTATTAAAAGACCTTGAAAGGGTCAGTTAGAATTCTCGTGAACGGTTGATAACTCTGAAATACCGTATTTCCGTAAAGAGTGACGAGTATCTGAGGCAAAGCGATTTAAGTATACAGTAACAGTATCTACATTGATCGAGTCATGTGAAGGTTCACAAAATCAAACAAGAACAAAAGTTCCGTAAAAACAAAACCGAATAACAAAATATTGCATTTCCGTAACAGCTCAGTTTCAGTTTGTTGGCAAACTTAAATGACCGATCTACTAAAACGAGGACAAAAAAATCGGGCATTCTTTTTCCAATGCCCGTTTCATACAGTTTTCTAACAATAAAAATGACCATAAAAGTCAAGTTTAAGGTGTCCGCGTCCCCTTAACAGAGGTGTCCGTTGAATACAGGTATTTTTTACAGTGAATGTAGGAAAAGAAAAATGGGACTTACACTGCTGTAAGGTGACTCCCCAGTAAAAGAACCCGCCATAGATTTCCGATGAAATTTGGTATGCTGTTGTTACAGGACAAGGAGATATTAAAAACGTAGTAAAAATAGGGGGTCACCGTGCTTGTTTTCACGCCACAACGTTGACAAATACGGTTATTTAGGTGACTTTTGATAATCTCCTTGCGCAGCAAATAAGCTCGATTATTTTTCAACGCAGCGTGTTATATCACACAGAGTTTGACTTTCTTTGATTGCTTATTCATCTACGTCCCAGAAAAAATGGCTTCAAATACCCTGTATTTTTTTATCCTTTAAAGGAAACATAATTTGGACATGCTCTGTTAGGCCCGTTACGTCTCCCTATGTGGTATTTAGTTCATTTGTCAAAAAAGTAGCCATAGATTTCTGCTGATTTTTTTGTCAGTTATTGAGGATATTGTTCTCATTGAAATTATAAAATAAAAAGTGGGGGTCACCGTGCTCGTTTAAGAGAAAAGGAGCATTTTTTCGCTATCGAGCTTAGTTCCAGGGAAATTTCTTACGTTTTGTGTGCGCGCGCGCACACAAAACGTAACACCCATAAGTATATCAATAGAAACGAGGTTTTTAAAACGGTATCCACAGGAAAACCAACAGAATTTTCATTGTTTGTATCAAAACGTTAATCGCTTTTCTTTTCTCTGGAAACTTGTAGGGTGGTTTTTTTGTGGTACAAATAAATTAAGGGACCGTTCATTTTTTATAAGGTAGGGGGGG